CAGTTAGCACTCCGGACCTGGTCCCGACATACAAGCCTGCCCGGTTCGGATCAACCGACTCGACCGAACTGTTTGGAACACCGTTTTCCAATTTCGTCGAGGGCTGTTGAATCAAATGTGGATGCACGTTGGGAATGCCGTATTCGGAGTAATCGCGTACACGGGGCGGACCGCTTAACAGCCCCGCAGGAACTCGCCTAGACAGACTGTTTGGCGCGGTGCTGGCACCGGGGGCATTGGCTACAGCACTTGGATTATGATTACCATAGACCAGTGGTCCGGCAATGTGATAAGGTCGATGAGCTGGAACTTCTGGCGGGATATTGTAACCGGATTTCGATGATTCTGGCCAACCGGGTGAACTACAGGCTTTATCCCAATTTGCAGGTNTGTTCCATTGATTAGTTGATCTCTCGGGATGTTCCGACCATACACTGTAACAGACAAAAAAAGGAATGACATATTTTCACCAGAGCAGTTAAGCCAATTGATGTAACCAAAAAAACGTGAAAAAATGAAGAGGAAAACACGCGAGATAACAGATTAGCTGAATCTGTCCTCTAAGAGTCCTTTCGTTATCGAATGGTCTCAAATCATCGGATTTATTATTCACCGAAAACTTTGGCGATAATATTTTTTTGTCCGGCTACCCTTGGTATCTCTGAATTAACGATCTATGCTTTTTTCTTCGTCCTTGATTGCATACACACCTCGGTTTCTTAGACTCCGAGTTACCCACGGAACGAATTTTATCTGGTACATTTTTCTGAGTGACAGTTGGATTTTCAGACGCATAGTGTTGATCGAACTTGTTGACAGCTTTGGAGAGGAAACAAAACATATTATCCTTGCATCTGATTTTGCCGTACTAAGCCGAAAAAAACGGACAAGCGAATGAGTCCGACGCAATACACTGAGCCGCACTGACTCATGCTGTATTGAAATCCTTGGCCTAACTTTGACCAAACGTGTAGAAAAATTGTGACCCTGTAAAATACATAAAAAGATGGGGAAACAATCTATGGGAAATTGGAAAAAAGGAAACCTTCTGATTGTTTTGTATGTGCTTTTTCGACACAAGAGTAAAATGACGTGAACAAGAAAAGACAAAAACCAAATACAACCACACAATTCAAAGTCTAATACGTAATCCAGCAGGATATACACAGATTATGAACTCCAGATTAGTTTTCATCACCCAGGAATGCGATGATGAGGACACACTAAAATCAAGACCACCACCGCAACAGCCAACTTACATTCAAGAGGATGACATCCCGGTTTGGGATAACCCGAAACCCCGTACGATGCCGAAGGATGGTGTTGTGGAAGTGGAGGCGGTTGGTCCACCCCGTCCTGGACGTGACTAGATCGCGGTACTTCATGGGTGACTGGAGAGGAAGTCATCAGTGGAGTGCCTGTGTCCGTAGTTCCGGTATGCCGATAGTCATCTCGTTCTGCGGTGTCCGACGTGATACTGTCGGCCGTCAGTCTGCGACGGCGGCGTCGGTGATGATGGTGATGTCTGCACGAGTGAGTATGCGAATGGAAAAAGTACAAACAAAGAATGAAAAGAAATCAGATAGCGAACAAAAGTGGGGGAGGGGTAAACGGGGACCGGACGAAGCCGTATTGACGAAGAAGCAGACAAAGAATAGGCAAAACTAGTAATCACTCCAGTTTAAATAACCATTAATCAGGCACTTTCACGAGGTGGTTTTGGTTGTTGTCTTTCGGCCGCCCATTTGGACGAGCAGTGGAGTGCTGAAAGCAGTATCAATGTGAAAATCGCGAGTTTATGTAGCGTGAGGTTGCGAAGACCTTGAGTAGATTCATAGGTGCCACTGTTTACGGCATTCAGTCATATCACTTAGTAATTCTAACGATCGATTAAGCCAATCCCGAGGTTCAATCTAGAAAGCCTAATAACACCTTTATGATCGTGTTACGCTTCCTGACTATGGGTTCTTAGGATCAGGGAAACGGATAGTGAAAAATAATTTCATGTTAATTTCTATCTATAAACTAATCCACATACGCAATGCGTTCTGTCATCATTTTTCACACACGCACACACACACGAGGATGAAATGTTCACGGGAGACCACTGTGCATGGTCTCCACAACGGTACTCACCGACAACATATTCAGGAGGGACTTCCGTTTTAACGAAAACATCCAACAGGGAAGTTTCAGTGTGACCGTGTGCGTGTGTATACGAACTGTGTCAATGATCAGAGAAAGTTGTTTGGCTGATAAGAAGGCAATTACTTAATTAGACGAATGACGCGCAAGTGTACAGTGACCTTAAACAAATACACATATATGAGAATAATAGAGGATTTGATTTGTTTATATGATGAATTCGTCGTGTGCGTGAGGTGTGAGCTATAAAGCTGGGAAGCACTGGACAGCTATTTCGACTTAGTTAGATCTCATCAGCAGTGCGAATCCATCGACCCAGATACAGTTACGTATGTGTAACATGCATGCAATGCTGAAAAATAAAATCCAACAGAACTGAATCAACTGTCAGAGTAAGTAAGGTTTAAGGGAGTGGAAGGAGTGTGAACGAGCACAAGGAGTGAGACGAAATCTGAGCGTTTGCAAGTGGAAACGAGATAGATTTACTTGTGATCTGGTTGAAAACGAACCCTTGGATTAGATGTAACCTGATATTTTAAAAAGGCGTGGGAAACTAATCACAAACTGGTAAAAAAACGGTGACAAAGTTTACACATCCGGTTTTTAATTTTTTGTGTGCACCTGTCTTCTGTAATTGAACCAGGAAGACAATAAACCGAGAAACACGCAAATAAACATCTGCTGAATCTAAGACAAACGCATGTGTGTGTGCGTTCGACCATAAGGGAATGGAGGGGGCAAAATTACGGTGGGTGTTATGTCAGGGCTGTTGCACAATCCGAGGGCTAATGTTTGGCTTGGGAGTCGGACATACATAGTGGTTCTCTTTGTCCAAAGTAAGGGAGGGAGAGCGAGTAGTTATGAAACGCGTAAACTAATGAATGCACATGGACTGTTACCACTTGGTGCACCTGTGAAGCAAACAGACAGATGTCGCTAACGACGATAGTACAGATGAGGATAATGATGATGCTGAATGAAGGGCATGTACACCTGTCGATCAAATACCGAAACTGGCCGTTGTGGACGTTTCTAATGCAACAAACGAAAGGGAAAAGAATGAATGTGGCGTACAGAGCCAGGAGTTGAAATGCGGAATGATGATGATGGAGAAACAATCAAATGCGCGACAGGTCGATGACTAATGTGAATGGGAGAATGTCAGTTTGTGAAAAGAATCGGAGACGTCGCAGAGCAATCGAGAGCAAAGTGGTTGGATGGCTTTGCTGTATAGTCGAACGTATCCGTCATTATTGACCGCATTTGTGCAGAACCCAAGTGCATTCCTAATAACACGTATTTGCTTGGGGATATTGAGTGACTCTGTTTAGTCTCACATGATATCCATCAGAATCATAGATGCTTCCCGGAATCAAAGCGCATTATTGAAGTGTAAAGGGATGAAATGATTGTAAAAGGTTTTTAAAAATAAGAAATTTTGCTATGAGACTGATCGAACGGACGAAACGACGATAGTGAGCCTGCGTATTTTTATCAATCCAATTTCAGCTCTCACCCGATAAAAAACAGTTGGAATAATTAATTACTAAGGAATTTCAGCACCGTGCGAATCAACTGACTTCAAATTCACTTCTCACATAAACAATAATGAGTGTCTCACAAGTGAGCGTCCAAATTGCCCCAAGTCCTTTGATAGTTTTGCGAAGCGGTGAGCGAATGCAATTCGAAGAGACACATAACTCCAAACCGAAGATCTGGCCGCTTCATCATCCAGCTTCAGTTACGGCAATAGTGCACATGTCGTCTGAAGGGGGGAACTTCCATCAAACAGTTCACAAGCAAATCCGACTTTGCGGTTTGTTTCATACATCTCAATCGACTCATTTGATATGTGGCCTCCCTAATTGGGCGTAAATCAAAAATCCCATGCGTTCCTGACACCGCCTCAGTTCTTTTGGCTCGTTCTTCTTCTTCTTCTTCTCCTACTCCTTGGTTGACCCCAGACAGACATCTAGCCGATCGCTCCACCGGACAGCAGAATCGGATTTCTGCTGGTATACTGTCAATGTACACTGACAATTTGGCTCTGGTATCTGTGCTGTGAACGCGAAATCAATCATTCAGTCAACAATTCTGTGCACAGTGCCACAATACAGTCAATCGCCGTGAACTGTGCTTTAAGGGGTAGAATAAGAAGGCGGAAGAGTATTGGTTATTATTCGAATCGAATTTCGCTGGTTAGTTGGAGACATTGGAGGAGAGGACAGTAGTAGTGTTCTTGTTGGCGTTTCCGGTCAGACCAGAATAATCGAAGAAGAATGTGTTCATGGTAAAATATTTGGGCACGGGGCATGGATCATGGGGGTGGGATTCCTATTCCTCGACCACTTCTGTACATGCTTTTCGGATATTGTGAACTTGGCGGCGAAGGTCGCTTCACTGCATTTTGCTGTTCGATGATGATTATGAAACTTCCGTGGACGAATAAACGAAACTCACTGTTACTACTTTATCTGACAACATATCGGATCATGGATAACAATACTCTCAGTCCTGTTTCATGTGAAGTATGTCATAAAATCATTTAGACTCTAGCATATATGGTTTTTCATATCTAAACACGATCTGAATTGGCTACTTCAAAAATCGAACTCATTCCCATCTAACAGCCTTGATTTGAATGTGATCGAAAACGTTGTTGAAAACAGAGCTGAATCACCTTCCTCGAGAGTGGTCCCTGTAGGCCAGGGTACGGCACATACTGGAGGAAACCGACAAAAGTGATGTAGTTTCCAAGTTGATCGATTTCATGCCAAAACGACTGACTCAAGTGCTCCAAAATAAAGGACAAAGAGATGATTAAAAATACGGAGCTCCTCTATCTGTGTCATTGATATAAGTTCTTTTCATGAATAAATTTTTATGATTTCCCTCTACGGATGCCCGGTTATCTTACTTAAATATCTTATCTTACCGAAACCATAGCCAAAATCGAGAAATTATACGTTTCTAACGCGCTCGGCCAAAAGGAGCAACCATAGAAGTTAATACTATTATAAAAATGTTGCGAATGACCTGGGGTAATACCATGCACATTCCCGTAAATGAGGATCAAAACGTTTGGCAATGAGGAAAATANTATATATATATATATATATATATATATATATATATATATATATATATATATCCCCCGTCTGAAGCTTGATATTGAACCGGACGACAACAAAGCTACCTACCTGGCAGTGTCATATACTACTCACACAGTAGCTAGAAGAAAACCAGAGACGATAACACAATAGCCTAGCATGAGGTTACGAAAACTTTGACCGAGAGGACTCAGACATAAAGGCCGCATCAGGATCTCTGACTGGGGCACCGTGATCGACATAATCGATGGTTGGAGACATCGTTTAACGGTCTGAAACCGTGGAGCTCGTGCATCCACTCCATTTCTACCATCACGAACATAGTCAACTTAGCCTTCCGTATAGTATAGTTATCCCAATATTGCTCTTAGCTTTTCAACTCCCCCACTCCGCATGGGTTGAGCGCACGGGTAGCCGCAAGACAGCAGGGCAGTACAAAGTTAACGGTTGTGCAAACTTAAGCTGATTTAAGAACGACTGACCAAAGCATGGTACTTAAGTGCCACGGTAAGGTCGCATCAACAGTAGCGAAATCAACACAGATGGTGACTGACAAACGGGTGCCACTTGACGGTTTATCAACTATCCACGGCAAATCTGAGTGTGCGTTGTAAACTGAAAATAGGAAGAAGAAACGATATGTGCCATTTATAAAATTATTATAATTAGTGCTTAATATATGCACACGCAAACACACACCTAATCGTCCTATTTCAGTATTATACTGTCACAGCCTAAGCAATAGAATAGGTAAGAGAACCCAAAACAGTTACACTGGTTTGCCGGAAAACAATAACGGATCAGCAAAACAAAACGTCGAATTGTACAGTACACCCACCGATGAACACGAGTAAATTCAATGGTGTGCATTAAAAACGATTCCACCGGCATCGCATTACCGATAAAGACCAATTCGACTATGATTGAGAGAATAACGAAATAGGGAAGTGAAGGAAAACGCTAAGAGGGACGGGTGCAGGACATTACTGAGGCATACATGGGTGCACGTGCGTGTGTGTGTGTGAGTGGGCCCGTACGTGTAGATATTGAATGCATTTAAGTGGAGCTCGGACATGGCAGGTTGTCTGTCATCTGACGATTTGCTACAGCGGTTGTCAGAATGTTCTCATTCATTGGATTTGCCTTGATAATCGACGATACAAAATGGGCCCGGGGGGGGGGGGGTAGGG